CCCCTGGGTGTTGTAGCCGTCGCGGGACTCCTGGTGGCCGTAGTCGTTGGCGGAGTAGTCGTCCTTCACGACCCAGTCGAAGTTGTACTGGGCTGGAGACTGAGATGGAAAGGGCAAAGTATATTGTAGCCAAAAATGCATAGATATAAATTTCAGCAGTAATTGACACAAGTAAATGCCTAAATAATAATTTAGTTAACGACACTTATGGTCGGCTATGAGAATAGTGTTTGAGACAGGCACAATATGCGATACAGGTCAAGCCAGTTACCTGGTAGGAGGGAGGAGGAGAGTACCCGTAGGGAGGCTGTGACGGAGCGGCCAGAGAGGCAGCTGCCAGGCCCAACACGACGCTCAACTGGAAAAAAAATAATATAATAATAAAAAAGATAAATGGTGATAAATTGATAGAATGAATCAACTTATATTGCGAAAAATATGCCTAGATAGAGGCTGTGGATAAAGCAGTTTATATTAAGAGGACACTCTAGTAGGTTGTAAGAATATTTTTCTAACCGTAAGAAGCATATTGTTGATTTTGCTTGATAGAATGAAAAGCACTCTGCTTCTGCGTCTTATATACTTCGAGAAAAGTGGGCGTGGCTTCATTTGACCTTGAGAGACGGCTAAAATGCCACGCCCACTTTGCCGGTCACTAGACCCTCATCCTATGAATGGAAACGCTACGAAACACGAGACGAGAGAGAACGTCTAAAATAGTCAGTTGTTTCAGGAAGTTTCATAGTTTTTTAACAGTTAAAAGCATTTTTCAGGTCTTTAGAAGCAAAAGGAAGTATTTTTATATTGATTCGTAAACATGATAGTTAAAAGCGCGAGTCTTACCAATTTTTCGCAGATACCTCCCCCCCCCCCGCACACAGGCAGATACACTTCAGGTCAGTCATTCCAGGTCAGTTTGTCCATATACCATCATTTATAATATTTACATTATGTTACTTTTTTACAAATAGGAATTTAATTCTTGACCTGAACGTCTTAACGATTTAAGAAAAGTGCTGCTTGTATGTGTCTACAGACCATCTAGTGAAGAATTGCAGCCAATTATGTGCTATGATATACACATACAGTATATATATTCAATATTATATATGTTAGACCTTTCACACAGTCCTAGGTAACTTTCCGGCAAATTTGCTCTCAGAAATGGACTCAACACCTTTAGAAGGTACATGACAAGCAGCCTTGATTCTTCCCGTCTGAATTCTTTCGTATTTACAACTGGCGAGCGAGTTGTGACCGCAGTCTGGATGTGATCTGCGCTGCACTTGTGATTAGCGTAAAACGGATCAAGTTACGTTTGAGGTTGTTAAACTGAAGTCTGCTGAGGTTTGTGACTTTAGATGTCAATAAAAGTCTTTGACGCATATCAGTGCGACTATATTTTTCGCTATGGTATTCTTGCATTCATTTCTAAACTTTAAGAAAGGCTTTTTGAAGCAGCATTGTTAAAAGCAAAATAGATCAATAAGTCCAACACTCTACATGATTTCTAGTTCAAAAGTGAGTTGGATCATAAGTAAAGGCGTAATTCTATTGGCATATCACTTATTTTGCCTTTTCTGATCTCGACGATATCTCAAGACAGGGCCTGAGATGGCTTGGCTAAAGTCAAGCTCGCTTGTTATAGCATATTGTCCAAGCTCAGGGTTTGGTGCAAGATGAATGGAATCAAGCCTAACTGATGCTTTTGGCACACGGAAAAAATATAGTATGTGTGTGTGAGTGTGCGGGTATATACATGTCGTGTAAAAAGAATGATCGCACTGTCCCATCGGCTCAAACCTTCCTAGTTTCTAGGCTACATATTGTAAAATAACCATATTTATCCATTTGTAGACGAACATTTCTTACTTTTTCTTCTTGTTATCGTTCTCTCTCTACAGATCCCGTACCTGCCATATTCAGACGCGAAGAACTGGACATGTAACTGGTCATGCCTTTCATTGTTTCCTTAATATATCTTCTAATACATCATGCAGGTTGAGTACACACATGCAAGATACACACACACACACACACACACACACACACACACATTAATATATATATATATATATATTATATATATATATATATATATATATACATATATATATATATATATATATACCAGAAGTTCTATGACCCTCAATTCAATGACATTTTGATGTAAGTCGATCGTCTACAAGTCAGTTTTCTAGATGCTTTTTTACTGCTATTTGTAGACTTTGGAATAGATTGCCTTCAGAGATTGTAACTTCTTCGACTCTTGATAAATTTAAAACGTCAGCTAACATGTTTTTCTTACGTAATTAGCTGACTTTCTTTTATTCATTCTTTCTTAGCTGTATCTTGATCTGCATTGACAACTTTGGTGGTATAAATCTCGATTTTTTCAGTGTGGCTCATTATATAGCTTAATATAATAATATAATAATAATATATATATTGTGATCTTTTCTAGTTTTTTTTTCTGATTATATACTATAGGTTTATTTTCAAAACAAATGTATTGATATACATTCATTTAATGGCAGTAGTTAAGTATTGATACATATCCATTAAATTGTATGAAGGTACAAAAATATATGTATAAATACTTCTTTTGTAGCTTAACGTCTTAGTGATGAGGTCTCGGTCTGTAAGCAGGTGTAGGACGGTAGGAAGGGGTAGGATGGTATGAAGGGGTGGTGTGGTATGAAGGGCTATGTGTAGGACGGTATGAAGGCGTAGGATGGTACGAAGGCTGGTGGGCTTGGTACTGAGCCTGTCCCTCGTACGTGACCTCGGCCACGTAGCCAGAGTCGCCGTCCACGTGGTAGGTGACCTTCTGCAGGCGACCGTCGGGAAGCTGCACGTAGTAGGACCCCTGGGTGTTGTAGCCGTCGCGGGACTCCTGGTGGCCGTAGTCGTTGGCGGAGTAGTCGTCCTTCACGACCCAGTCGAAGTTGTACTGAGCTGGAGACTAATAAGCAACGATAAATTAAATAAGAAAAGATTTAAAATATTTTTACAGTAGTCATAATACTAATCATATGGTTTAAGAGGCATTACTATGATAGTTCTATACAAAAACGAATAATGGTGATATAAAGAGCAGTAAAGAAAATGATGCTTGTAATACAAATTATTATATGGTACAAGGCAGTTACCTGGTAGGAGGGAGGAGGAGAGTACCCGTAGGGAGGCTGTGACGGAGCGGCCAGAGAGGCAGCTGCCAGGCCCAACACGACGCTCAACTGGAACACCAGAAAGAGAATTAATTCATAGTTAATAAAGTCTTGTACTGTGAATGGCATGACGAAGTGGCCAGTGATTTGTATTCTAAGACGCATTTTGATTTTTCTGAAACGAACACCAGAAAACAAAATCCATAGTTAAGTCTTGTACTGTGATAACTTGAAGAAGTGACCAATAACTTGTATTACCAAAACGTATTTTTTCTCTCTCACCTTAAGAAACATGTTTGCTGAATTTGCTCTCTATGACAAGCACTCTCATCCCTGTGTCTTATATACTCCGAGAAACGTGGGCGTGGCTTCCGTCGACCCTGAGGAGCATCAAAGCTTGCTAGATCCTGATCTCATGAATGGAAACGCGAGAGGAAAAAATGTGACTGTGACGGATCTTGGATTTCTTTATTGTTTTTATTTTTATTTTTTATTTTATGATTATTGCTAGTATTATTATTATAATCATTATCATTTTATTCCGATGGCAATTTTCAAGTTTTTTGAAGCAAAGTGTGGTGCGTTTATGATAGTTCACACGCTAGTTGGAATACCTATTTTCCACCAGATTCCCCCTCCCCCGAAGATCTTCGTTGAGAGAATCAAAGTACATTGAGTTCGGGGAATTTACATCATGTCAGTATTGCCATTTCCACTTGGGTATTTCTCCATTTCTAAAAGCTGGAAACGTCCCCTAACATTCATCCTTACCGTCGGACATGTATTGCCGGTGTCATGTCTCCACAGACCTGTACACACATCACTCATAACGATGTGTGATGATGTACACATATGAGTGAATATATAAGTATACACATACATATATTTATACATATGAACATGTGTGACTGTATGTAAGTGTGAGATGTAATGAAATAAACGGAAATATTTGTAAGCAATGGTGGCATTACGGTACAGTACGTTACGGCGTATGGTGCGGTACGATTGATATCAGGCCAAGACTATGGTACAAAACCATCATACGGTTCACTTAAAGCATGGAAAAAAATAGCAACATTCCCAACCGTGCCGTAAAGTACCTTATGCTAGGTGAGCATACAGACAAATTAGTACCTTTGCAGCCATAGTGAGTGCATTAGTAGATCACGAAGATAGTATAATGGACCATTCATTTAGTACTATAAGGTATTATATGTACATACATACGCGTGCGCGCACACACACATATATACATACACACATATGAGTCTGTTGCTTATGGTACGACAAAGGCCCATGGTGCAGCTGAGAAATCGCCCAGGCACCCTCGCCCGCGGACTGCCACCGGTGCCCCCGCCCACGCCCATCCCAAGGAGGCAGACTCATCCCAGCATCCCCGGACGCCAGCTGGCCCCAGCGAAGGAGGCGAAGGCATCCCCCGGGGCAAGGTGCACCACTGGGAAGGATTCTCAGCTGCGGGCGGAAGTCGCGGTGATCGCGGCAGGAAGAGCACTGTTCGTGTGCTCGTCCGTGTCCTTTGACCGTTCTTTGACAGGGGTTTCCTGATTTTTTTTTTTTTTTTCTTCTTTTGCCACTTTCGACGCCACTTCCTTGTCAGTCTTTGTAAAGGATCATGCATCCATACATACACATTTATGTAAATATGTTTTTTTTTTTCAAGTATGTTAGTTTGTTTTCTAATGATGTACTGTATTTATGTGAGTGTTATTTTGAATTAAAAATGCATGTATCAATATATATATTTATTATATAGGTAGCTACTTAAATAGGAAATATGGATATGGTTTATATGATTAAGAAATTAGTTTTTCAGTGATGCGGCCTTGGCCTGTAAGAAGAGGTAGGTCTGTACGATGGTGTGGGATGGTATGAAGGGGTGGTGTGGTACGAAGGGGTAGGTTGGTATGCAGGTGTAGGATGGTACGAAGGCTGGTGGGCTTGGTACTGAGCCTGTCCCTCGTACGTGACCTCGGCCACGTAGCTAGAGTCGCCGTCCACGTGGTAGGTGACCTTCTGCAGGCGGCCGTCGGGAAGCTGCACGTAGTAGGACCCCTGGGTGTTGTAGCCGTCGCGGGACTCCTGGTGGCCGTAGTCGTTCCCGGAGTAGTCGTCCTTCACAGCCCACGCGAAGTCGTACTTAGCAGGAGCCTGTGATGGAAAGGGCAAAGTTTGCTTTAGAAATAGAAATGCATAGGTATAAAGTTTAGCAGTAATTGACACAGGTAAATACCTAGATAATGGTTTAGTTAACACTTAAGGTCGGCCATGAGAACAGTGGGATTGCCATTTGAACGCGGAACAGCAAGATTGCTAGACGAGAACGCTACCGCTGCACTGCGCAGAAATCTTTCCACATTCGTGTATTTGGTCTAATGTTTCATGTCACGTGCTGTGTTATTGTGCTGCCGTTTATTTATATTCATCCTCACATTAAGTATGACTTCATATCACAGAATATGTCCAATATGAATTCAAGGGTATTTTCATGATTTCAATACATTTTATCTTCTCACTGAATATGATTTCAGATCCTTATATATATTCATTTACACAAAACGATACATACTTGCATGATATTCTGTGAATAATCTCCCTCTCCATTTTATCTTTACTCTCCCTCTCTTACGAGTAGCGTCCATGCCTGACAAACTACTCTTAGAACAACACGGGGAAGATGTGCTGGTTCTTGCCTCTCTGCTATTTGTATTTTCACGTTCTTAATACTCTTTAGGCTTTCATTTTTCCTGCTTGGAAGGGAATTACATGAAATTCTTTTTAAGGGAAAATAGCATTTATTGATATATATTAGATTTATGTTAGGCGATTCCAAATAAATGGTTATTGTAAATGAAATTCACCTTTATGTGAATATGTTTTATGTATCACTTTTTCAATGATGAGGTCTTGGCCGGTAAGAAGGTGTAGGTCTATACGAAGGTGTAGGATGGTATGAAGGGGTGGTGTGGTATGAAGGGGTGGTGTGGTATGAAGGGCTATGTGTAGGACGGTATGAAGGCGTAGGATGGTACGAAGGCTGGTGGGCTTGGTACTGAGCCTGTCCCTCGTACGTGACCTCGGCCACGTAGCCAGAGTCGCCGTCCACGTGGTAGGTGACCTTCTGCAGGCGACCGTCGGGAAGCTGCACGTAGTAGGACCCCTGGGTGTTGTAGCCGTCGCGGGACTCCTGGTGGCCGTAGTCGTTGGCGGAGTAGTCGTCCTTCACGACCCAGTCGAAGTTGTACTGAGCTGGAGACTGATATGCAAAGAGAAATTGCAATAAAATCCGGAGAAAACGATGAAAATATAATCTTTGCACCAGTAATAATGATGATAATTAGAAACAAATGAAAGTAAGATATTCAGTGAGGAAAATGATACTTGAAATACAAACTATTATAATATGATCCAAGGCACTTACCTGGTAAGAGGGAGGAGGAGAGTACCCATAGGGAGGCTGTGACGGAGCGGCCAGAGAGGCAGCTGCCAGGCCCAACACGACGCTCAACTGGAACACCAGAAAGAGAATTAATTCATAGGTAACCAGGTCTTCCTTTTCTGTCAATGACATGACGAAGTGGCCTATGATTTGCATTGCCAAAACGCTTTTTCTTTTTTCTTTCTCACCTTAAGAAACATGTTTGCTGATTTTGCTTGATATGAAAGCACTCTCATTTCTGTGTCTTATATACTTGGAGAAACGTGGGCGTGGCTTCCTTCGACCTTGGGGAGCACCATAACCACGCCCATTTTGCCGATTACTAGATCCTGATCGCATGAATGGGATGCTTGGAGAGAAAATATTGTATAAGTCAGCGGTGGTTCCAGGATATTTATTTATTTTTTCATTTATTTATCTATTTATTTATTTATCATTTCTGTGGTATTTCTGAAGCAAAGTGCATTTTAATGATTATTTCAGTGTATATGATACGTATATGATCTTTGGGAATCCTATCGCTTTTCCACCACAGTTCTGCCCCCTTGCCCCCCCCTCCCAAAATCCTGGTTACGCCCTCATTACATGTCAGTGAGAATCAAATGAAGTACATTGAGTTCGGGGTATTTACATCATGTCAATTACATTTCCAAAGGGTATTTCTCGGAGGTCAATGTTCTAAAAGTCGGAAGCGTCCCGTTACCGTTTGACATGTTACCAGTGTCACGTGTCTGTAGACCTGTAGAATTAAATCACCCAAGACGATGTCTGATGACATGCATTCCTATGCAGTATACATATATATATATATATATATATATATATATATATATATTATATATATTATATATATATATATATATATATATATATATATATATATAGAGGAGATATATGATAAATGCACATAATGTACATATATATGTATATATATATATATATATATATATATATATATATATATATATATATATATGGAAGAAAACCCACAATGCACAATTAGATTTTATTGAGGAAAGTGAGAACAGTTTCGTAATCGTCCTCGATTCAGACCCGAAGATGGAATCAAGGATGATTCCGAAACTGTTGTCTCATTTTCCTCAATAAATCTAGTATGTGCATTGTGGGTTTTTCTTTATTATCAACACGGTATTGTGTTTTTCATTGCATATATATATATATATATATATATATATATTATATATATATATATATAATATATATGATATATATGAGTAATAATGTGTGCATGTACGTATGTGTGTATATATATGTGTGTGTGTATGTGCGTGTGGATGTATGCAAATATACAATACATATACACACGTGTACCTGTATGTATGAAATGTAATGAAAGCAAATATTTGAAATAAACTGGATTATTTGTAAACAATTGTGTCCTTACATTACAGTACATTATGGAGTACGATATTTAGTCCAAAAGTACAGTACGGTACTTTTCTACAATACAGGTATGGGATAAAATAGCAAAATTCCTCACCGTGCTCTGTATTAGGCTAAGAACACGTCCATGATTTTATTTGTGCCTTTACGGTCATAGTGAGTACATTAGTATATAACAGAGATAATAATGTACCATTCGATTATTATTATATCGTATTGTAAATAAATAAATATATATACACAGAGTATGTGTATGTGGGGGGGGGGGGGTATATGTTGTATGCATATTTCTATATATACAGTATATGCATTAATATTGCATACATATGTTTATATATTTATGCAATATTTGATCATGGTGCAGCAAAGATAGTATCCTGCAGCTCTGAAATCGGAGTCCACGCCCGTGCATCCCCAAATATTCTCAATTGCGCCAACGCTGCCCCGGCCGCCCACTGAAACCCTTGCCCCCGCCCACGCCCATCCCGTGGAGGCAGAATCCCCACAGCATCCCCGGACACCAGCTGGCCTCAGCGAAGGACACGAACGCATCCCCGAGGCTCCGTGTGCGACGTGGAAGGAGTCCTCGCTCGCAGGCGGAGTCGCGGAGGTCGCACCTTCGAGAACTGTTTCCTTTTCGTTTTCCTCGTCGTTCGCTCTCGATTTGGCCACAAAGTCGCTGTTTCCCTTAGTCGTTCGTTGGCTGTTATTTCGTGCTCTTTTTCTTTCTTTTTTGTATCTTTAAATATCATTTCCTCTTTAGTCTTCATAAAGGATCATGCATGTACACATTTTTTTTTTTTTCATTCTTTCTGTCATATATTTCTGTGTATAGTTTTGTTGAAGTAAAAATGTATATATCAATATATATTTATTTCATGATAGGCAGTTACAAAAATAGCAAACATGGATATAGTTTTCATGTTTTACAAAATAGTTTTTCAATGATGAGGTCTTGGCCTGTAAGAAGGGGTAGGTCTGTACGAAGGTGTAGGATGGTATGAAGGGGTGGTGTGGTATGAAGGGGTGGTGTGGTATGAAGGGCTATGTGTAGGACGGTATGAAGGGGTAGGATGGTACGAAGGCTGGTGGGCTTGGTACTGAGCCTGTCCCTCGTAGGTGACCTCGGCCACGTAGCCAGAGTCGCCGTCCACGTGGTAGGTGACCTTCTGCAGGCGACCGTCGGGAAGCTGCACGTAGTAGGACCCCTGGGTGTTGTAGCCGTCGCGGGACTCCTGGTGGCCGTAGTCGTTGGCGGAGTAGTCGTCCTTCACGACCCAGTCGAAGTTGTACTGAGCTGGAGACTAATAAGCAACGATAAATTGAATAAGAAAAGATTAAAAATATTTTTACAGTAGTCATAATGCTAATCATATGGTTTAAGAGGCATTACTATGATAGTTCTATACAAAAACGGTTAATGATGTGATATAAAGAGCAGTAAAGAAAATGATGCTTGTAATACAAATTATTATATGGTACAAGGCAGTTACTTACCTGGTAGGAGGGAGGAGGAGAGTACCCGTAGGGAGGCTGTGACGGAGCGGCCAGACAGGCAGCTGCCAGGCCCAACACGACGCTCAACTGGAACACCAGAAAGAGAATTGATTCATAGTTAATAAAGTCTTCTTGTACTTTGACAACTTGAAGAAGTGACCAGTAGCTTGTATTACCAAAACGTATTTTTTCTTTCTCACCTTAAGAAACATGTTTGCTGATTTTGCTTGCTATGACAAGCACTCTCATCCCTGTGTCTTATATACTCCGAGAAACGTGGGCGTGGCTTCCTTCGACCCTGAGAAGCAACACAGCCACGCCCATTTTTGCCGCTTGCCAGATCCTGATCGCATGAATGGAAACGCGAGAGGGAAAAAATGTGATTGTGACGGATCTTAGATTTTTTTTTATTTTTTTATTTAGATTTTTCTTATATTCATTCGATTATTATTACTATTATTATTATAATAATTATTATTTTATTCCGATGGCACTTTTCAAGTATTTGGAAGCAAAGTGTGGTCCGTTTATGATAGTTCCTTCAGTTCACATGCTAGTTGGAATACCTATTTTCCACCAGATTTCCCCTCCCCCGAAGATGTTGGTTGCGCTCCTCCAGTAGGAAGTGAGATTCAAAGTACATTGAGTTCGGGGAATTTACATCATGTCAGTATTGCCATTTCCACTTGGGTATTTCTCCATTTCTAAAAGCTGGAAACGTCCCCTAACATTCATCCTTACTGTCGGACATGTATTGCCGGTGTCATGTCTCTATAGACCTGTACACACATCACTCATAACGATGTGTGATGATATACACATACATATGTAGTATATGTGTATATGAGTGAATATATAAGTATACACACACCTATAAGTACACACACACATATTTATACATATAAACATGTGTGACAGTATGTAAGTGTGAGATGTAATGAAAGGAAATATTTGAAATAAACGGAAATATTTGTAAGCACTGGTGGCATTACGGTACAGTACGTTACGACGTATGGTATGGTACGATTGATATCAGGCCAAGACTATGGTACAAAACCATCGTACGGTTCACTTAAAGCATGGAAAAATATCAATATTCCGAACCGTGCCGTAAAGTACCTTGTGCTAAATGAGCATACAGACAAGTTAGTACCTTTGCAGCCATAGTGAGTGCATTAGTAGATCACGAAGATAGTATAATGGACCACTCATTTAGCACTATAATGTATTATATACACATACATACGCGTGCGCACACACACATATATACCTACACATATGAGTCTGTTGCTTATGGTACGACAAAGGCCCATGGTGCAGCTGAGAAATCGCCCAGGCACCCTCGCCCGCTCACTGCCACCGGTGCCCCGCCACCCACGCCCATCCCAAGGAGGCAGACTCATCCCAGCATCCCCGGACGCCAGCTGGCCCCAGCGAAGGAGGCGAAGGCATCCCCGGGGCAAAGTGCACCACTGGGAAGGATTCTCAGCTGCGGGCGGAAGTCGCGGCGATCGCGGCAGGAAGAGCACTGTTCGTGTGTTCGCCCGTGTCCTTTGACCGTTCTTTGACAGGGGTTTCCTGATTTTTTTTTTTTTTTTCTTCTTTTGCCACTTTCGACGCCACTTCCTTGTCAGTCTTTGTAAAGGATCATGCATCCATGCATACACATTTATGTAAATATGTTTTTTTTTTCAAGTATGTTAGTTTGTTTTCTAATGATGTACTGTATTTATGTGAGGTGTTATTTTGAATTAAAATTGCATGTATCAATATATATTTATTATATAGGTAGCTACTTAAATAGGAAATATGGATATGGTTTATATGATTAACAAAATAGTTTTTCAGTGATGCGGTCTTGGCCTGTAAGAAGGGGTAGGTCTGTACGATGGTGTGGGATGGTATGAAGGGATGGTGTGGTACGAAGGGGTGTTTATGAAGGGGTAGGCTGGTATGAAGGGGTAGGATGGTACGAAGGCTGGTGGGCTTGGTACTGAGCCTGTCCCTCGTACGTGACCTCGGCCACGTAGCCAGAGTCGCCGTCCACGTGGTAGGTGACCTTCTGCAGGCGACCGTCGGGAAGCTGCACGTAGTAGGACCCCTGGGTGTTGTAGCCGTCGCGGGACTCCTGGTGGCCGTAGTCGTTGGCGGAGTAGTCGTCCTTCACGACCCAGTCGAAGTTGTACTGAGCTGGAGACTGAGATGGAAAGGGCAAAGTTTGCTTTAGAAATAGAAATGCATAGATATAAAGTTTAGCAGTAATTGACACAGGTAAATGCCTAGATAATGGTTTAGTTAACGACACTTAAGGTCGGCCATGAGAACAGTGGGATTG